CAGGGGTCAGCAACCTTTTACACACCAAGTGCCATTTTTGAAACCATGGTACAACCGAGTGCCAGTGAACAATAGCACGCTTTAGTGTTAGTTACAGTTACATTTTTTCACTCATGGCTGTACTGCTAATAGTAAGTTAAACTCACTAATTATTTTAATGTGTTTACCTCTCCAGTAGCAGCACAACTATAAGGGGAAAAAATTTCATAACTGGTGCACACACAAAACATGTTCATATTTATCCAATGCCCTGCAGACCTCAGAGCAGCAGCCCCAATGCCCTGCAGACCTCAGAGCAGCAGCACCAATGCCCTGCAGACCTCAGAGCAGCAGCACCAATGCCCTGCAGACCTCAGAGCAGCAGCACCAATGCCCTGCAAACCTCAGAGCAGCAGCACCAATGCCCTGCAAACCTCAGAGCAGCAGCACTAATGCCCTGCAAACCTCAGAGCAGCAGCACCAATGCCCTGCAAACCTCAGAGCAGCAGCACCAATGCCCTGCAGACCTCAGAGCAGCAGCACCAATGCCCTGCAGACCTCAGAGCAGCAGCACCAATGCCCTGCAGACTCCTCAGCGCGCCTCTGCTGCTCAGTCACGTAAGGGAGGTGGGTGGGCCAGGGATGTAATTGACAGCCGGCTCGAGCTGTCAACTACAAATGATAAAGAATAACGTTGCGTGCCAGCTGCCAAGGCCCCGCGTGCCGGGGGTTGCCGACCCCTGGTCTACATTATCAAAGCTTTGGTAAACGTGTAGATTTTGTTTAAATGTTTTTCCCTTTCAGAAAGCTGGGGAGTGAGCAACTTGTGTCAGCATACCTGACTAACGTATATTAAAAGTAATTCAGAGTATCAACAGAGGGATTTGCGATTCCTTTAATGTGGACCTTTACCCCCTCTGACTAAAAATCACATCAGCATACAGCTCTGCATGCTAATATGAAATCATATAGCTAAATAAACATATTTTTATTTTACTTACAATTACTTTTTTTCCACTGGTTAACTTTGGCACAAATGATGTAAGCATTGAATCCTGGGCAGGTTACATCAGCAGAGCATTGCTGACAAATCTCATCTGTAATGAGATTTCCCATGAGATCTCAGGTAAAGGCAAATATTTTCCCCTGAGATGATGTGCATGGTCACATGTGCCAGAGTTCCCGGAAGTAAATGGTGATCTAGAAATCTGCCCTTACGGGGAAGAAAAGGAAAACAAGGTATGCAAAAAAATAAAAGCCGGCAATTATCTACAAGTATTTGTTTGTGGAAAAACATTTCTAAAAAGGTGCCTCGTTGTTATTTTGTAGTTATCGGTAAAACTCCTCTTTAAGTCCACCTACATATAACTAGAAAAGTTGCGCTGCATTGCTACTTACCAAACCTGCCAACTTCAGGGTTTAGTGTCACACCTCTGCTCTAATTATGGGGATGAGTGTATTTCACTTTCCCCATAATTCTCCTTTAATAAAAG